TATTTTAAAATGTAGAAAATATGGTGTTTTGTTACAGGTTTTAAAGACAGGCTAGAATATTTGATATGCCAGTCTCAACCCACAGTAAAGAAAAAGAACCAAATAAATAAATAAACACAAATCCCTTCCGTATGACGTAAAAACGGCCAGAGAAGATGGTGCCCTTTGGTTAGGACAATGCCACATGAAGTGATGTGTAACTTTGCTGTAAGCGTATGACAAATGGCAAGGAACTCGTTTAAGTTTTAAAAAATCTTTTTTTTCCTTCCAAAGGAATTTTTTTTTTCTTTTGCAGTTTTTGGCTGGGGCTGGATTTGAACCCGCCACCTTCAGTGTATGGGGCCAGTGTCCCACTCCTTTGATCCATAGGCACCGCCCCCCAAGGAATCTTATTAAGTTAATTCATATTCGTGTCTAAATAATAGAAAGCTCAAAATGAAGCATGGCAATTGCCATTTATATTACAAAGAAACACGCAATTGCATGGTTTATATTACGACTGGTTTCATTTCTCCATTTTTCTGAATCATCCTTTCCTTTAAACTATTAAGCAAAAGATGGTGTTGCCTTTTAGTCCTTTGTGGGACATCCTGCACTTTGGCTGATGATAAAACGTTGCCATGTCCTTTCATTCGCATTACTGTATTTTGTGTTCTCTGATGCTGGGTGCAGAGAGCTGCGGGATTCCATCAGATCTGCTCAGGCCCCTGAGCCTAGTTAACACCTGTTCTTTCTATCATAGATTTGGTGAATGAGGGTGTTTACTTCTAAGTCTGTCTGGATTGAGTTGAATACTTTAAAACGGGTGGTTACGGAGGATGACAAAGCGTATCTCATATCCATACTACATATATAACAAGGAGGAGTAGAACAGGACAAATCTCCATGTAAGAATCTTAGACTACCCAGTTTGGTAGAGACAGCATGGCATTTATCAAGTTACAGTAGGAATAGTATAGGCTACTTAACATTGAACTATAATGACTGAATTATAAAGAAACGAAGAAAGAAGGAAAAATCCTGGAACGTGGTAATTAGAGGAGAAAAATTGGTATTCTTCATATCATCAGGCTTCTCTATATCAACTTCTCTTCGGTTAAATTAAACAGCATCACTGTCATAGCAGTAAGAACTCTTGCTAATATAAGCAGCAAAGAAATTTTCTGGAACATTCTATAGCCTCTCATAGGAGGAGTCTTTTCTGGACTCCTGGTAATTGCTATGAATTATTTCTTAAAATTCTAAGACACATCCCTTAAGATGTTTCTGACATCTTTGCATTATTTTTTCTGCCAAAACTCAGGCAGAATTAAGTCATTGGCTTGGCCTCGGTCACAGCCTGCATTGTAGTTATGAGGGACAGGGTGGGAGATCAACTTGAGAAAGACTCTACTGCATTGTAGGAAAAGCCTGGACATCTCAAAGGGACAGAGAAATAATTCCAAATTGTAAGCCCTTTTTAATAGATGATCTAAAAAAGGGCAGCCAAGCATCCAGTGTCAGGTATTGGCTGGAAGAAACAATAAATTCTGTCCACGGTCCAGAGCTTTTCCAGACAGTAACTGAAAAGGGAGATGAGTGGTCCCAGAGCTGTGGCCGTAGGGTGTTGCTAAAAGCCAGGCGAAGAGTATCTATTTGTTCAAAGGGATCAATGATCAGGCTGAGACTTGGGCTTGAGAAAGTGGAGTCTCTTAGGGTTTGCATGAAGGGGCCCTGTCAGTGGTTATTACACCTCTCAGCGTCTTCCTTACATGGCTCCTGGTTAGAATCTGTTAGTGAGTTGTGCTTTCAAAAGATCAGGGGGATGGAAGAGAAAGGGAGATTTATTATCTGATTCCAGGAAGATCAAACAGCAAATGACAGGTCTGAGCTTCGCAGCTGCTCCTGGAGATTAGCAGTGGTAGCTGATGGAGGGAAATGGAGATGTATTAAATGAGCGATTATCTATGTTTGTGAAGGTTAAGTGAGTCACGTGGCTTAAGGGCAAGAACAACACAGAACATGCATTCTAGTTAATGCTGTGTCACTCACGGGCCGGTGACCCTAGATAATTTATCGAAGTGTGTTTAAATCGTCTCCTTGCTGTGAAAATAAAAAAATGTGGAGGACGTGAAATTGTTGTAAAGGAAATGATATTCACCTTGCCACAGTCTGCTTGGCTACGGTATAAGTGCTACCTATTTCTTTCTTTCTTTTTTTTTTGAGCTCTTATGCTGAAATTCCATAATGATTTTATAAACTTCTGTGTAAAACTTTGCTTAATGTATTTTGCTCAGGCTTAAAATAACTGACCCTTTTACAACATTTAAACTTACATAAACGGCATAGGTCTTTCACGATCACTATGAAATCAGACTTCCCCAAACTCAACGCAGTGTGAGTTAATTTTTTTTAAGTAGCATGTAGAAAATGAGATCGCATTCACTTTTTCATGTCATTTTTTTGTGCTTTTTTTTTTTTTTTTTTTATAGTAAGACATGATCACGAGGAAAGACTAGATTTTTCAATGTTGCTTTTGGGAGAGAGCTGAGCTTGCAAGTAAATTAGTCACTAGTATTCTGAGTACATTTAATTTATTCTACTTCCCTATCTGTCTAAGAAGAGTGTGGGTTACTGGCCTTTTAGTATGAGGTTTTTATATTAATCTGGCTAGAGTTGGGTTGTGTTTGCTGTTTATATAGCTCCAAAAAGCTAAAATTTTTAGCTTGATTTTTTTTTCTCTTTTGTAGTCTTTGGGTTTCCCTAGAAAGACTCCTTTAAAAAACATAAAACTTTTCAGTTGTAATCCATGGGTATCACACAGGAGCATGTACAGTAAGGTTGCTGGAAGGGAAGGGTTCTATGGTCTCATGATTAAATCTCAGTCATTTATGGGGCCCATGTCCCTGTTGGGACTTTCACAGCATTTCTTGGCTTTCCCCCCCTTTTCCTTTTTCCCTAGTAAGTTGGACTGGAAGGCAGAAGGAGTAAGGACTGAGTAATTTCTCTTCAGCTGCCTGGGTAAGACAAAGCTACGATCAAGTCCTTTCGCTGGTGAGTAGGCCTTTGTTACTGGGAGCACACTAGGTGCTCTGAAGAGTGGTTACGTTCCCCCACTCTCCGCTGGAGGCATCTGGTGATTTTTGTTGCCTCTATGCTGTGAGAACCTGGGAGGATTCCTATAGGGACCCCCTATGAATGTCTGAGGGCTCCACTAAGACTGCAGAGGCTCCTGATCTCTTGAGAGTCCACACTTAGCTTCTTGCAATTTGATAGAATTCCCACCTGAGGGATCCTACCAGTTTGGGGTCCCAGGGGCTCCAGTTGCAGGTAAGTCAGAATCTACAAAGTTAAAATAACAGAACAAACTTAAGTGCAATAGATGTTTAACAAAACAGGTATTTACTTCCATAAATTGCTCATGGAAAGGCAAATTTCATAATATTTCTAGAAGAAAACTGGCTTAGCATAGTGGAAGGACAGATAGGTACAGAACAATATTACAGAACATGTCAGAAGCAGAGCTTGCCCTGGCAGAAAGAAAATTCATTAGGATAGAATTTTGGATAGTTGATGTCTTAGCTTGTGATTTCTAGAGCCTGACTTTGATGATCACATATGTCAGGATTATCCAAATTTAACATTATACAAAGGAGTTATGAAATGCAGTGTTTGTATTTTGTAAAAGTCTCAAAAGGATCATATTCTATTTTTTTTTTTGAGACAGAATCTTACCCTGTCACCCTAGGTAGAGTGCTGTGACATCATAGCTCACAGCATCTCACCCTGTCACCCTAGGTAGAGTGCTGTGCCGTCATAGCTCACAGCAACCTCAAACTCAAGTGATCCTTTAGTCTCAGCTCTTGAGTAGCTAGGACTACAGGCTCTTGCTACAATGTCCAGCTAGTATTTCTATTTTTAGTAGAGATGGGTCTGGCTTTGCTCAGGCTGGTCTGGAATTCTAAACTCAGGTGATCCACCCACCTCCCAGACTGCTAGGATTATAGGCATGAGCCACCGTGCTGGGCCAGGACCATATTCTAAATGACATGTATAAACAAGTAATTATTATATAAGGAAAACAGAGTGAGTTCTGTTCTTAGTCTCCACTTCCTCTTCAGTAAAAGTTTGATGACCTTCAAAACCACTTGAACTTTGTGGCTAAGGAATGGCCAGGAGCCTTCAGCCCGGACTAACTTGTGACTCTTTATTTAAAGCTGCCTTGGTGAGACTCAGGCAGCTGTACTGCTATTAGTCTTTTAGTGGTAGACTTAGGAAGGGCTGTGAGGTTAGTTGCTTTGTGCGTCTCAAACACAGTGCACCATCCTGCATTCTTTCTCCTGGGCGTATTGTCTTCTGGGAGATGGTGCAGAGGACTTGGCAGTTTTGGTCATCTTTTGGTAGGAAGTGTGACCCCTCCAATAGATAGCCGCAAGAAGCAGCTATGGAATGTACATCTCCTCCCAGAGGTATCCGTTGTCAAAGTTATCTCATTAATGTGATGCTGAATTTTTTTGTGTGTGACCCCACTCCTGAGAACCCCCTTCCCTCCACTATAGTCCCAGGGAAATACACATCTTAAGTGCTTAAAATGTAACTAATGGTAAGGCCAGTAGAGAGTCAGCAGAAGTGAGCAAGATTAGGGGATGATTTTTACTTACCGGGCATCATCCTTTCCTCATGTGTTTTATTTGCTGCCAGAGATAAAGGAATAAGGGGAAAGGATGAGGGGAAATGTGATGTCTTCCCTCAACGTTATATAATATGAAAGAAGAGATGACGGGAATTAATGAGTGTTCTACCGGGCGTACGTAACTCACAGAGGAGGAAAGTGCCCTCTCCCATAAATTACATGCCTTGTTTCAACAACCCCTGCCCCCTTTCCTTTTTCACTTCTCTTTTTCTTTTTTAGTGGCTTAGATGGGACGGGGAATGAGTTCTCCAACAAATTTAGATTTTGCTACCCTGGGCGTTGATGACTGTGCTGTGGACACGCATTGTTAAGAAAGATTTTCAACACACAAGTGTGTCACTTCCTTTCCTCATGTGATAGACGCTGAAATACTATGAGATAAAGGTTTTAGGTTTCAATTGGGAAGAGAGGGAAGTGGACAAATCAGGGCTGTGTCTTTAGGAGCAAAGGTAAAAAAAGTTACTTTTAACGTTTTTGTTCCACAATTGTTTTCTGCTTATTTTGTGTGTGTTTTCTCTCTCTCTGTGTATGTATGCTATCTGAGCTACCTATTTGTAACATATAGAGTTAATTATTTCTGGCAAAATATTTTATTCTAGCATTCATAATTTGGTTTGGTTGTTCTCAGTTACAAAAGTGAAGGATTTCTGCTAAGTTTTCCATGAGTGAAAAATATTTGATGTATGCATAAAGATATAAGAAATACACCAACTCCTTTGTATTTTACACTGGGAAGGAATTTTTGTCATATTATTATGCATATTTTATTAAAAATATTGGCTTTCTTCAGAGTGTGATGTAACATATTTTGGCTATTATTTTCAGTAACATTTTTTGGCTTTAACCTAATGCCTTTTATTACCTTGACCTGCTCAAATTGTAAATATTGGCTGGGTACCTACTATGTGCACTTTATTGAACTATATATAAGGGGAAAGGATATAAGGGATATATTTACTGTCTTCAGGAAGTTTATGATCTAAAATATACACCAACTAGGCATAATCTAATTTGAGTGTCTTCAGGAGCATGTAAGTGCTGTAGACAACTTCTCTGGAAATATAATCAAGACAAAAATTACTTCGATGGGGGAAAAGATGATCAAAAAAGTCTTGATGGAGATACCAGAAGTGAGGATGATCTTGAAGGATGGGAGGATTTACACAGCTTAAAATGGCAAGTGGAAGGCTCATTGGGCTTGTGAAAATTGTGATGGAGTAGTCAGGACTGAGACTCTGGATGCTTTAGGGAGAGATGAGGAGTTTCATGTAGTACTTGGGAGCTGATGTTCTGGAAGGTCATGCCTGCCCCTGCTCAAATCCCTTTCCCCTACTCCCTAGCTGTGTAATGTTGACTAGTTAGAGATTTTGAGTCTTGGTTTCCCAACCTGTAAAATGGAAAAAATGCCTCTGGATACCTCATGGAGCTGCCGTGAGGATAAAACAAGAGAAATGCCTATTTGAAAAATTGGTGTCTTAAAGTGAAAAAATTCATTGATGATTTTCTTGTCTACTGAGAATTATACAAAAAATTATTTTTAATCCTCATCATAGTTATTCAAATTCATATCACAACCACATTTTGCATATAAAGAAACTCCAATTCAAAAAAGTTAAAATATTTGCCAAAGGCCACAGCTCTAGATAATGGCTTGGCTAATACTCAAATCTAGATTTCAGATTCAAAACCTGATACTCTTTCCTCTTTGCTACCGAGGCTGAGGATTAGTGATGTCAGACACAATATGGGTATTTCCATTTTTCAGAGTCCTTCTTACAGGTAGATTCCTTAAGCACAGAACTACTGGCTTCATCAATCATGTTGATTTTCATGTTCTTTTTGATTTTCAACTTTTCTTCCAAAAAATCAGGGTTTTTATAATTAAATAATAAAGACTATTATAAGCTTACTGTTTACTCCAGTTCTTAAAGGTGACATTAACTGTCAGAGTATGGTGCCAATCTGGATAAGGAACAGTCTGAAAAGAAAGACCATACCTCAAATGTGAAGAGACAGACAATAAATATATATTACATATGAAGAATATGACATATATATACTATATGTCATTTATATTTTTATATATATGACATATATATACTATGTGACATATATATAAAAACACACACACACAAAGAAAACCACCCTGGGTATTTAGAAGCAATAAAAATTGATAACCCACTAAGAAAAATAGATGATAAATATTACATGAAAATATCTCTTCTACATTAATAATAAAAAACACAAGAGCCATCTTGAGGTATCATTTAAATCTTATCAAAATCTAAATGATTCTAAAGTAAACTGTATTATGCATGTGGTTGTGAATTTCATTTAAAACTTCCATATTCATATATGACTGGGATATTAATAAACGTGTATGATCTTTTTTGAACACTAAGGCGATAGATACCAAGACCTCCAAAGTGTATTTCCTTTCACCTGGTAATTCAATATACGGTAAAATATCCTAAAGAAATCGATCAAAAGCATAGAGCTAAATTATGAAAATAATTGCAACATCATTATTTATTTTAGTGAAACATTGGCCGCCATAAAACCAGAGGAAAAATTAAGAAGACAAAAATCCTGTTCTAGGAAAACAGCTATTGAAGTTACAAATAGATACTCCATGAATTATCATGTAGCTCATCCTTTTAAATTAAAAAATTATTTGAAGTAAAAAATTACTGAGATGATTTCAAGGGAAACACATTACGACCACATGAAATGCACATAATGACATCAACAGTGTAACATGAGTACATAAGTACAAAAATTCAGCCTTCATAGGAAAAATAAGCTATTTGTTCCTAAGTTAGGGTGATGGGATGACAGAAATTTTATACAAATTATCCTGAATTTTGTTACAATGTTATTATAATAGAAATAAACACACAGAAAGAGTATAGTTCCAAACAAGTTGACCTTGAAAGTCTTTTATCATGATTTTCCTGTTGTAGCTTCTGTAAACTTTTCACCCATTATTACAAAGCTGATATAGCAGAAATGCATTTCACTTCTCATGAGAACGTGTTTTTAATAGATTATACAAACAGAAAAGATTTCACAATCCTTTAGTAGTACATTGACATTTGGAAGGACGTTTTCTCCTAAGTTTGGAAATGATATTTAAAGGAACACTTACATGGTGGAAATTGTTCACTCCTTGCTAACAAAGCCTTACATACATACACGGACATTACTAAACAATTACAGTGATCATAACCCGAGTTAAGAGCTGAAACAATTCAGAAATCCTAATAATAAAGGCCTTTGAAGGAAAGTGGAGATATTCAGAATAATATTCTTTGCTTCAGGGTGTGAGTTACATGCAATTCAGAGAGAAACGTTTTAGATTCTAATGTGTAACAGAATTTTTAAAATTCCCACATTAATGAAATACAAAACTTTTCTTGAGGCAGAACCCAAGATATAAACTCCAGTCATCTTGAAAATTAGTTTGCCTTCGATTTATTGATGTGATTTCAAATTCTGTCATATGTAGGTCATGATCATGTTCGGGAACTTTCTGGTCACTGAACCAAAGAGGTAATAACTCTGTAGGGTGGATCTACCTTAGATGAGAGAAGACAGTTCAGGAGATAATAAAAAAGACATATTTTGTGTTAGATAGTGATTATGTTTTGAGGGGAAAAATACTGAGCCAGGAAAAGGAAGAGGAAGCCCAAAAGGAAGGTCATAAGTTGAAATCTGATAGTCTTCTTTTTTTTCTTGACAAAATATTTTCCAGTGTTGGATTTTCTCCCCTGGTCTTGGTTAATAGGCTATGTTTTGAAGTTTGTCCATTTGTTCTTTTAATTACCTCCTCTTTCTTAATGCCCTTGTATTTATTTACCCCTTGATTGCTTGACCCTTTGGTACTACTAAAGATGCCTGGCTGGGGTAGATAAAAATGAGCTGAAATAGAAAAATTGGGGTAGAGTGAAAGAAATGGATTCAAAAAAGCCAGGATTTGCAATTGGATGTGGATCTGACAGGCGAGTGTGGTTTAAGAATCAAGGCCTGGGTTCTGGTTTGAATGACTGGGTCTTGGTAGCCTTTGCATGATTGTATTTGGTATTTTCCAATGCAGTAAGTAAAGGGTGATAACAAATAAATGGTTATAAGAATAAATTGATGGGGCAGCACCTCTGGCTCAAAAGAGTAGGGTGCCAGCCCCATATGCCGGAGGTGGTGGGTTCAAACCCAGTCTTGGCCAAAAAAACAACAACAACAACAACAACAAAAAGAATAAATCAATGATATGCCAACATCAAAGACCTTAGAAATGGAGCAATTATGACTATGTAGAAAAGGTATCATTGAGGCTAGTTGTATTATTAAAAAACCAATGAAATTTTGAGATATGAAAGGGATATAGAAGCTTGGTCAACCTATATGTAGTTCAAGCCATGGAAGTGGATGGGACTCCTAGAGAGAGAGTGAAGACTAAGAGAAAAGAAAATAACCACAGAAAATGCCAATGAGCGATCATATAACATCTCTATATGATTAAACCAGGGCTCCTCAAACTTTTTAAACAGGGGGCCAGTTCACTGTCCCTCAGACCACTGGAGGGCCCGACTATAGTTTCAAAGGACAGGCAGCGGTGGCAAAACACCCAGTGTGCCAGATAAATGTCCTTGGAGGGCTGCATGTGGCCCGCGGGCTGTAGTTTGAGGATGCTTGGATTAAACAAATCTGTTTTGTTCCTGGAAAATAATATATACTAATATTTTATGCAATTTATGATTAACTAACCCCTACTGTACACTGCCCCAGAAAACTAACAGGACTTCCCCTGGTGTGCCAGCATAGCTAGAGGACGGTATTTTTTCATTCATCATTCTATTCAGTATATTTTAGTGTTCTTCTCTCTCCCAGTCCCCTACAAAGCTCAGGGGTGTTATATGGCCCAAATATGGTTAATTAGCTCGAGCCACTTATAGATGTTTACATTCAAAGTTTCAATAAATTTGCCCAAATAAACAAGAGTTCAAAATACAGTAAAACACAAAATATTTCTTATCACCTTTTTAAGCTAAATTAAGACAGATCAAAGTTTAGAGGCTTAAAGAAAAGCAAAATTGAGCTTAATCTCTATTTCAGGGTGAAAGAGATAAAAGCAAAATGTTTAATAAACCATATATACATAGATTGTGTCACTAGTAATGTTAATCCAGGTTGCCAGCGCCCAAACAATAATTCTTTACTGATTTATATAGATAGAGTTCAGTAATATATTCTGAGTATGTTGTGAATGCCGGATCAGATGTGTGCAATCCAAAAAAATGGATGAAGAAATTGATGAGGACCATGCTACCAGATCTATGCCACTCTCGCCTCCTCTGCTGGGTCCTGTGCCCAGAAATCTGCTTCCCAGACACTGGTCCACTCTACTTCTCTTGTTCATGCCTTTTAACATAATATTTTCTGGCTCAGTGTCCATAGCACAGTGGTTATGGCCCCAGCCTCATGGGCCAAGGCTGGCGGGTTCGAACTTGGCCTGGGCCAGCTAAACCACAATGACAACTGCAACAAAAAAATAGCCAGGAGTTGTGGTGGGCACCTGCAGTCCCAGCTACTTGGGAGGCTGAGGCAAGAGACTTGCTTAAGCCCAAAGGGTTTGAGGTTGCTGTGAGCTGTGATGCCACAGTGCTCCATAGTGAGAGTCTGTCTCAAACAAACAAACAAAAAACATAATCTTTTCTGTTCTGGACTAATCTCTTACACAAAATATCTGATTTTTTTTTCTTTTTTTGGAGTCTGGTCTTGCTATGTTGCCCAGGCAAGTTTCCAACTCCTAGGCTCAAGCAATCCTTCTGCCTCAGCTTCCCAAGGAGCCAGGCTACAACTACACACCACTGTACACTATGCCTGTCTTTCAAAGCTCTGGAAAGTAGCATCTTCTTGTGTTCCTACCTTGACTACCCTCCCGCCCCAAAGAGTTAAACACTCTCTTTTGTACTATGCCTGTAGATTTTCTGGATCTATGTCACATTGTCATGCAATTATTTCTAAATATTTCATTTTTTTGTATTAAATGGATAAGATCTTTGGTGGCTTGGAGGTTGAGAATGTCTCATCCACATTGATCTTGACATTCTGGTAACTTGCACAGTGCTTGATTTAATAACTCAATAAAATAACTTCTTGAGTAGGGTAAGCAGAAGGATTGGGTGAACAAAAATCATATTTGTGTTCCTTGATAGAGGCAAAGATTAGATCGTTAGATGACCATTCTGCTATCGCCATTTTTTCTTCTCTAGAAAATAATAAAATGCTAAGTTTTGTTGCATTGTAGTGGGCTATTCTACCATCCTGGTTTGTGTAAGAACACTTTTCAACATTTATACAATAGTGAAATGATGCATTTCTCAGAATGTGTCCCTGTGGTTAAGGGACACCTATGTGTACATAGCAGGTATTTATGAATACTTTCTCCATGGGCTCATCTTTTACAAAATGAATTTAAAGCGAAAAAGCTTTAGTACATAGTCCTGATTGCTTTAAACTATAATTTTAAAGTGAATTTATCTGGGTTCTATTGTTGTTTCAGTATTTTAAAATGTTTGAGTTTTTTCTTTTTTTTTTTTTTTTTTAGTTTTTCGCTTGGTTGTACAAACTGTCATACAAATCTGATAATAGAGAAAATTAAAAGGACAGGAGTGGGCGGGGAGTCTGAATGATCCAATTTCATTTTTTGCATTAGTCCATTTTCCCAGATTGTTGTTTATTTTTTCCACGTTGCCTCTGCCTGAGAAACCAGCAGATTTAGGTCTCGTGTCTAGTTCCCTTCATTCCCTCCCTCCACAAGGGTCTAATCCTTTAAAGAACACAGTCCTTGGACAGATCAACGTAGGATTCATGGAAACCAATTCTCAGAAATGATGCAGATCCCAGTTGTCAATGCAAACAGCCAGTAAAAAGTATCTCTTTAGTAATATTTTTTAAAAATGTGTTGACACAAAGTGAGTCATAGCCTGAGATGTCATTGCCTCTCCCCAAAGCAGCATGCACATGTGTGCCTCTGAGTGATTGCCCTTGATTTCCTGGACTGAATTTGAGTGTGGTATCCTGGAGCTGCTGGTGTACTCCATTAAGACTATGCCACACTAAATGCACATCTCAGCATTAGAAAAAATAAGAAATGATCAGAAGATGTTGGCTTCCTGCTAAATTTATCAATCAAACAAACTGAACTGTGTCTGAACAAACAAAAAAAAATTCTTTTTATGGAACATAATTCTTCAAATGTGACCCTTAGGCCAGCTGCAGCATCTCTTGAGAAATTTTGGGGATTGCAAGTTCTTGACCTCTCCCCCCAAATCAGAAACTCTGTGTAGGAGGGCCATCACCTTTTTTTTTTTTTTTTTTTTAAATCAAGGCTTTGATGATTCTGAAACATGTTAAAGAGACAAAGGCAAAGATTGGGTGATATATTATAAGTTATGCTTGAAAATGTATAAGAATAAGTTTGAGTTCTTGCCAGTGTATAAGAAGAATGAGAGAAACCCTGGAAAGAGAGATAGAAAGGGAGGGAGGGAAGGAGGGAGGGAGGGGGAGAGAGAGAGAGATTTTTTCCCCCTGTCCTTCCTAATCTAGTGACTAGACTTTGTTTTATCTTTCTCAAGTGCAAAACAGATGACTTGGCAAGGAAAAACTGGCTCACGAAGCTATGCTTAAAATATTCAGTCCAGAACCACGATAAAAAAGCACAGGAAATATTTATTTCAGATGCCCCAAACTATTTGTTCTAAGGAAATTACTTTTTTCTTTTCAGCTAAATAGTTATTTTCTGTCACTTGGAAAATTATGTATTTTCCCCTTTAGCTAAGAAAGAAAAGCCATCTCTCTTCCTACACTGAAAAACTAGACGTCTATAAACACATAGACAGTCGTATCTAGAAAGATCTGCGAGTAGATTCGATGTAAATTTCTCTTTTTACATTATACTGTAAAACTTACGGGTAAGTTCGATACCTTGCTATATATGGCAGGTATATAAGTTTAATGATACTTGGCTCTTTTTAAAATTAAGTGTCATCTATAAATTTCAATTTGAAACCTTAAGTCAAAGGGCGTCAGCCATTCCATGTGAAATTAATATATTTTTTCGTGTGCTTGATAGAAGAATGGAACAGGGGGATCCCTTTCTGGATCAACAGGAAGACAGTGATAGCTGCTCGGAATCTGTGAAATTTGATGCGCGCTCAATGACAGCCTTGATTCCTCTGAGTAAGTAGAAGTGGGGGCAGGCTGCCCACGGAGATGTTCCCTAAGTTATTGACAGTATATAAAATTATACCCTTGAGATTTACCTTAAGTGTGCCTGGAGGTTAAAATAAAACTTGTTTGGTAAATAGATCTGCTTCTCTCTTGAGACAGAAAATAAGCTCAAATTGAAGAGAGGAAACATTGTTTAAAATTAGTCTGCAGGATTGATGGAGTCCTTTGATTTCCCAGGCGTAGGCCTTGGCAGTAACTATGATCTTAGCACTAAGATCGGAACAAATAATTGAAAATCACGGGTAGCAGGTACCTCTGTTAGTTTTCTAGGGGTGTTATAAAAAATTCTCACAAATTGGGTAGCTTAAAACAACAGGAATTTATTTTCTAGCGCTGCTGAAGTCTCACCGTCTGAAAACAAGGCTTCAAGAGAGACATATGCCCCTTTGGACCAGGTCTCTAGAATTAAAGAAACCCAGCTTCTGGTGGGTCATGGCAATCTCGGTGCTTCTTGGCTTGATGCCTTTATCTGGTTGTCTTCTCTGGGTATCTTTGTGTTCTCTGCAGTTGCTGGACCCTCTTTTTAACTGGATTATAGCTGCGAAGACTCTATTTCTAATTAAGGTCCCCTACACAGGTACCTTGAGTTAGCATTTCAGTATAACTTCTTAGGTTATACAGAAATATAATAAATTGTAATACAAAATTTATTAAATAAAAAAACAGATTCTACAGATTTAAATGGAAACTAATTTTTTATAATTAAAATGAAATATAGTATAATGGAAAAAAGAACAGCCACGTAACTCAACCAAACGGTGCTGAAACAAATGTTTGCACAGGTTACAGCAAGAGCTCAAATGAAACTCAGCTGTATCTGAACAGGCTCATTCAAAGCAGCAGGACAGAAATGCTTGCAATTCTGTTAAACCTTGAAGTATAAATACAAATCACCAAGGAGCTGGGTGGAGAGGAAGGAGTCAAAGACATTTCGGTTAGAATACCAATTAGCATGCACAAAGTTCAAGGGTCATAGGCGAACCTGGGGTATAGATCTCAACCCCAAGGCATGAGCATCTCTGGCACTCTACCAAGGCTGGAAGGGAGGATGGGACATCAGTAAAAGTGAGGGAAGTGAAAAGTGAAATAGAAATAATGAGGGATCAAGGAAGGACGAAGGCCTTGGGAGCACAGAAAAGGCAACAGAAATATTTGGGAACAAAGAGAACTTTTAAAATCTATTTAAAAGGTGGGATACTGAAAATTCATTATAAATTAGAGCTGAGGCAGAAGACGGCTCATAAGTTTTAGTCTTGGTCATCCCGGCAGATGGAGTATCCTATCTTTCTTATATTAATGTGTTATTTTTCTTCTTCCTTCTTTCTTTCCTTCCTTTTTCTTTCTTTTCCTTTCCTCTTTAATTTTTAGGCATTTTCTCTTCTTTTACTCAGTCATAGAACATTATTGAAAATGGTCTAAATTTTGTATTTAACTTAGGAGTCGGCAATCTGAAAGCAAAGTTTCCTTCTTTTTTATTGAACAATAAGCCATGGACAGAGAAAAGAAATTTTTAATGGACTTTTAAGTTTGCATTCATCTAATCGAGGAGAGCCCTTTCTTATTATCTACCATGCGTCCTCCTTACATAAATTTATCTCGGCTATGATTAGCATCTCACTGTACGAATCATTGTTCTATATTAACTGTGTAAGTCTAAAAGGTTACGGTTATTATTAATAATGTGGGTTGAAACAGCCACAGGATGAGCCTCACTTAGAAACTGTAATCAAAATGCAATTCACTCTTTGGGTATGTTCTTTTACACTGTGCTCAAATCATAATATCCAGATGCAAAATTATTAAGATAAGGTTGGAAAAGAAAAATATGTTTGCATGATAGTTATTGAAAAATGAATATTTCTTATCTGATTTAAATGAAAACTACACTGTTGAGAAATTTTACTTACACTCGTAATATATTCTCATGTAAAATCCATAGATAAATAAAATTTATGTTTGCAGTGGTGCCTGTAGCTCAGTGCGTAGGGCGCCAGCCATATGTACAGAGGCTGGCGAGTTTGAATTCGTCTCAGGCTGGCTAAAACAACAATGGCAACTGCAACCAAAATAAATAGCTGGACATTGTAGTGGGTGCCTGTAGTCCCAGCTACTTGGGAGGCTAAGGCAAGAGAATCGCTTAAGCCCAAGAGTTTGAGGTTGCTGTGAGCTGTGACGCCGCAGTGCTCTACCAAGGGTGACATAGTGAGACTCTGCCTCAAAGGAAAAAAAAATATGTTAGCATATGTCAGTAGCAATATTAAAATTACCGATGAGTCCCCCCAAAGGAAACAAGCACAATTTGAACAGGATAGTAATTTTCTAGTGGATGTCTAATGAATGGCTAAGTAAATTGAATGTCCATAGTTATACCTGTATTATCTTTTCCTGCAAATGTCCCTTTGCTTTCCACTGGATAAGGACCTATTTTGGGAGCACTCTTTTTACTCAAGAAGGTAGCAGTATCATTGGAGATTACAAAAATTTTAATTAAGAAGAAAAGTTTTCTAATAGTAGTCTGGGTTTTGCTTTTTTAGATCCTAAAAATGGCGCCACCATTCAGGAGAAATTGAAGTTCTTCAAAGCTGCATTGATTGCCCTTTACCTCCTTGTGTTTGCAGTTCTCATACCTATCATTGGAATAGTGGCAGGTAAAGTATTCTTGAGTTTTGAAACTTAACAATTCAGGCTCGGCACCTGTGGCTCAAGTGGCTAAGGCGCCAGCCACATACACCTAAGGTGGCGGGTTCGAATCCAGCCTGGGCCTGCCAAACAACAATGACGGCTGCAACCAAAAAATAGCCGGGCATTGTGGCTGGCGCCTGTGGTCCCAGCTACTTGGGAGGCGGAGGCAGGAGACTTGCTTGAGCCCAGGAGTAGTAGGTTGCTGTGAGCTGTGAAGCCATGGCACTCTACCCAGGGGACAGCTTGAGGCTCTGTCTCAAAAAAATAAAATAAAAGAAACTTAACAATTCATGCCATGAATTATTTGTTTGCAAAAGCAAAAATCTTTGTTATATAGTAGATTCATGAAGAAAAATTTCAATTACGAATTGTAATACAAAATTTATTAAATAAAAAAAATAGATTCTACAGATTTAAGTGGAAACTAATTTTTTTAATTAAAATTAAATACAGTATAATGGAAAAAAGAACAGTCAGATAAAAGTATAGATATATAAAAATAGTAGGGCTGGGTGCCAGGGCTCATGTTTGTAATCCTAGCATTTTGGGAGGCCAAACTGGGAGGGTTTCTTGAGGCCAGGAGGTCAAAACCAGCCTAACCAAGAGTAAGACCCTGTCTCTACAAAAAGAAGGGAAAAACTAGCTGGGCGTAATGGCATGTGCCAAGTTTCAGCTACTTGCAAGGCTAAGGCAGGGAGATCACCCAAACTTAGGTGTTAGAATTTTTTTTCTATTTTTAGTAGCAATAGGGTCTCATTCTTGCTCAGGTTGGTCTCTAACGCCTGAGCTCAAGGCCTCCTCCCTTCTCAGCCTCCTGGAGTGCTGTGATTACAGACACAAGCCAGTGTGCCCAGCCCCCATGTATGACTTCTAACTCCCAACTTCTGTGTTCTACTATCTCCCAAAGTAATGGAGTTTTTGTATAAAAAATGTGGTTGGCCAATAAACAAACAAAGAAAACAAAGATACCACAAAAGAATATTTTCCATATGTAAAGATTCACTCCTATTTTGGCAGTTAAAAACAAACATATAGGCTTGGCACCTGTGGCTCAAGTGGCTAAGGCGCCAGCCACATACACCTGAGCTCGTGGGTTCAAATCCAGCCTGGGCCCGCCAAACAGCAATGACAGCTGCAAGCAAAAAATAGCTGGGTGTTGTGGCAGGTGCCTGTAATCCCAGCTACTTGGGAGGCGGAAGCAGGAGACTCTCTAGAGCCCAGGAGTTGGAGGTTGCTGTGAGCTGTGATGCCATGGCACTCTACCTAGGGCAACAGCTTGAGGCTCTGTCTCAAAAACAAACAAACAAACATACAACTATATAACCAGACCAAACAACCAAACTACAGCCATCTAAGTAAAAGGACCTGATGTGTCTGGCATTAACCAGCTTCCTGAAGACCAGAGTTATCTGTATGTCGTTTATGTCTGTGCTTATCTGTGGTGTGAAATGCATAAATAAACGATGTTTCATTGTTGGTTATAAGCCAGTTAGATTGTAAGCATATCCAATTCAATCTAGGTTAATACAATAGATGTAGAGTCTCCATCATTTTCTCTCTCTCTCTCTCTCTCTATATATATATATATTTTAGTGACATAGTTTCACTTTATTGCCCTCGGTAGAGTACAGTGGCGTCACAGCTCACAGCAACTTCCAACTCCTGGGCTTAGGCCATTCTTTTGCCTCAGCCTCCTGAGTAGGTGGAACTACAGGTACCTGACACAACGCCCAGCTAATTTTTATTGTTGCAGTGTGGCCTGGGTTGAGTTTGAACCCCTACCCTTGGTGTATGGGGCTGGTGCCCTACCCGCTGAGCCACAGGCACCACCCCAAGTCTCCGTCATTTATTTATTTATTTATATTTTTATTAAACCATAGCTGTGTACACCAATGCAATTATGGGGTACAATGTGCTGATTTTATATACAATTTGAAATATTTTCATCAAACTGGTTAACATAGCCTTCATGTTATTTTCTTAGTTATTGCATTAAGACATTTGTATTCTACATTTACTAAGTTTCACATGTACCCTTGTAAGATGCACCGCAGGTGTGGTCCCACTGATTACCCTCCCTCCACCCATCCTCCAGTCTTCCATGGTCTCCATATACCACAGCTTGTTTACCCACTCCTGGGTGGTGGGCATTTACATTGTTTCTACAGCATCACAAGAATGGAGAAGCAAGACCCCAAGGTACTCAACTCTAATAGGAAAGCAGGCAATGACCCAATGCAAGGTGGGGGGAGAGGAATGAAGGGGGAGGGGGAGGGGGGTCACAGTGTATGGCCCACCTCTTAGAGGCATGATACAATTATAAGAGTGACTTTACCTAACCAATGCAATCAGTGTAACCTAACTCTTTGTACCTTCAATGAATCCCCCCACCCCAAAAAAGATTTGGATTCTTTTGGTGTTGCAACACGGTAATGCTTGGATAGGTAAAATGCACAGCTCTCTGTTACAGCAAAGAATGAGAGAACACCGTCAGATTGGGCCACATGGGTGTTCTACCCCAGGACAGAATAATAGAAAAAAAAGAAAAAAGAAGAAGGAAATCCTACCCTATTCCAAGATCTCACAAATAATTATTGGTCATGTAAAATCCATATGGTTTGATATTTCTTTGTGACTTTAAATCTGTTAACTTGTCTGAATTTGTTTTTCTATATTTGTACAAGGTGAAAATCTAAATAGAACTTTTTTTTTTTTTTTGGCTGGGGCTGGGTTTGAACCCACCACCTCTGGTATATGGGGCCAGCACCCTACTCCTTGAGCCACAGGTGCCACTTGTAAATAGACTTTTTTCCAAACAGCAAGTGACTGTCTCTTTCTTTCCAACTGATTTATGATGCTTCCTTATCTTAAAACATTTTTGAATTGCCATTTATAAATGTAACTATTGTTGTTATTGAAATAAAGACAATTTAAAAAGAAGAAAAGAACGTAAGGATATTTCATCATTGTATTGAAACCACAGCCTGTGGATCCCACCCTGGGGAGTGTGGTTTCTGACAGGTCCCGGTGGGATGCAGACTGAAATCTGAAAAGAATCCAAAGTTCTCATCAACTTCAAAATCTCTGGGCTACCAGAAAATAGTAAGTCAATACAGTTGTTCTAGAGTTGACAATGATTGATCTGAAGTAATTTATTTACTGAAACTACAATACCTACCTGCAAAGACTGACAAGAAGTTAAAACTGTTTTGATCTTGTAAGTTCACCAAAATGGGCAGAATTTGGAACAAACGTCACTATGTCTATTGTGCCTTAATGATAAACAGCTGACAGACTATTTACAATTTTAATTAAGTTATAGATCAGAATATTTTCAATAAGAAATCAAAGCCCAAAATATATACCTTCACTTGGCATACAAGTTATAAATGTAGGCAAGATAAAACTCTAAAATGGTAGAATATGAATTGATGGGGGAAATTAACCTCCATAAATAAAATCCCTATTTAAGTATAAAGTAGGAGATATTTTCTTCCCTGTTACCTTTGCTTAAGGAAGCAACCAAAACACTGTCAGAGGGTAGCCACGTAATATTGATTCAGAACACAGGATACAATTGAGGATTAATGTCTACAAATAGTTACTATAATGATAAAAATTATTTAGAGAAAATCAATGTAAATTTGGGGTAGAAAAAGATAGTATCACCATGAAAGAATAAATAGAATCTGTGGCATCAAAGATAACCCTTCCCCTAGGTGTTGACAAGCCATGAAAGTTTGTCTTCTATCCTAGGTGGCATAGAAAAGTCACAAAATGCCATGTCTTGAATAAAAATAAATGAACTTTGAAAATATACCATCTAACAAGGGTGCATGTGAATCTTTCTAAATGCAGAGTATAAATGTCTTAACACAATAACTAAGAAAATGCCATGACGGCTATGTTAACCAGTTTGGTGAAAATATTTCAGATTGTATATAAAACCAGCACACTGTACCCCATGACTGCATTAATGTACACAACTATGATTTAATAAAAAAAAGAAAAGAGAGAAAATATAATCTCTGGCATCCTTAGATATAGGATAGAGTTGAACATTTCTAAAGAGAAATTAGTTTTCATTTAGGAGGGCTTGATGAAGCCAGCAACTGTGTTTTAAAATCTATTTTTAAATGTAGCTTTCACCATCAACTGATGTTTAACTTGTCAAATTAAAAATCGTTGATCACCTGACTTTGGTCAAATCAAGTCTTTTCTTTTTCACATCGCGAAAAAGATTTGCTTTACCCATATGAAACAATATTTGTTTCTAATGAAGGTAAATTTATATTGTGGAGAAATTAAAGTTTTGCACCTCGTAAAATAAAACACAGAGACTGCTGTGTTCGTGGCAATATCCAACCCCAGAAAAAAATTTCTATCACACAATGTTAACGTCCCATGATTCATCAAGATTGGGTGTTTAGATGCTGGAGTCACAGATACAGAATCCAAAATATTAATAATGGCAAAATACAGAAACTTATCAAAAATGTAAACTTCTATTATACCTGGAAATGGTCTAAGCATTTCACATATAGTTTGTTTAATTATTTATACACTGTCTTTAGTATTGCATGTATACAACTGGTGAAATAGAAGAATAACTTTTTCAGCCTTACTGCTTATTAAGAATATAACCAGAATTGCTAACCAGAAGCTAGATTCTTAACTGCTACCTCAAAAGGAATAATAATCAAAACAGGAGAAAAATTTAACTCACGGTTTTGAAATGATTTTCTAAAACGTATTCATTTGGGTTTCTGACTATTAAAGTCAAAATCCATTCTCAAATATTTTTTTCAATTCCCAGACTAACTCAGACATTAGTTGATACATAGTAAATTCTTGGCAAATGCATCATAGAATTAATGAATGCATGAATGAGGCTATGAGCCCCAAACTTTGCTCCCCACGCTGAATCTAATAAATGCGATGAGCTGTGACTTAGAAACATGCTTTTATGTCCAATTTACTGATAAATTAAGAAATAGTGTATAAATTCACACACATGCAATATAATCTCTGTTATAGAACACATCAAAATCTTGTAACACATTTTATTATTTCAATAAAGGAACATTAAAATAATATAACAAGGAAAAAATATAATATGTTTTTTTTTTTTAAAGAAACTTTGGATTTTATTTTATTATTATTTTTTTGGCAGTTTTTGGCTGGGGCTGGGTTTGAACCCCCCCACCTCCTGCATATGGGGCCAGCGCCCTACTCCTTTGAGCCACAGAAGCCATCCAATATGTGTTTTTTAAAACAGGAATTTAGGGCGGCACCTGTGGCTCAAGGGCACAGGCCCCATATACTGGAGGTGGTGGGTTCAAACCTGACCTGGCCAAAAACTGAAAAAACAAACAAACAAACAAAAAATAAAACGGGAATTTAATGGCATATATAGTGTAACATTTATTCTCAATGTATTAATAGCTGCAAGAGTAACTATCATCTATTAAGTAAGTATAGTAAAGAAAGTAGCCTCTATAACTAAGATAATTTCTTTCTCTTTAGAGTTGAATAGAAGTTCCCCATGTGCCTATTTTTATGCTATGCGATTTCTATATCCACGCCATGCTCATAACTGTTGGGGTAATTATTACAAATTGAGGAACCCTAAGCAAAAAGGGAGGAGGAAATGGAAGAGGAGAGCTAGATTCTAGAAGCAGACAGCTGATGTTGTCTTAATAAGACCTCTGTGACTGAGGGGTAGAAGGGAATGTCTCATGCAGCTCAGAAAAAGTTATAATGCTGGGACTGTTACCATCCCACTCTTATTAAGAAAACTGAAAAATTTGGATATAGATGTATATATAGATATATTTTTTAACTAGATGAAGTTACTCTTGCATTGTTCTATAATTGTCCAATATGAGAAGCCTTATGCATTTAACCCAATATGAATGTCATTAATATAAAGGTATAATATAGATAGGTTGATGGATTGATAGAAATATGTAGTAACAACATAATCTTAACCATTACTAAAGAGTCATAAAATGGGGTTGACCATTTTCTTCATTGTGTATCAGATTGTATTATTTTTATAGAAAAAGTTAATACTTAAGCTTTGTAATTTTTTTTTGAAACTGTAAAACATTAGTGCTCTAAATTGTTTCAGGAGGATAACTGGCTTATTTAGAGAAGGTCTTTTCATCTGGAATTATGTATCAGCATCTCAGTATGTTCCCGTAATACCATTTAATAGAATTGTTTTCCTCAGGAAATAATCGCAAAATTGTTCATCCACACATTGAATGTGTTACTGAAAATGGAAGTAAGCTAAATGCAGGCTCTTTGATACATAAATGTGATAGATCAATACTTAGAATACAAAGTAGTTATGAAATTATTTTTATGGAATAATATTAAATAATATGAAAAATCATTTATGATATACCATAAAATTAAAAAGGTGTTTTCAGATTTCATATAAAATAAAAATGTTAAATAATTATGTGGTAGTCGAAACGTAACAGAAATAAGACACAAACACTAGAGTGTTAGACTTTAACCCAGGATGGTGAGATTCCTGGCTTATTATTTTTCTTATTATTCACATTTTCTGAGTTTTCTGCTATGAATACCTGTTTAATAAAAGGGAAGAAAGAGACATATGAAACCAATATGCTTTTAAAATAGAAAATATTTATTTGCCCTATTTCCTGATCGCACGACTGTGTATTAGGCTCGTGTGAACAGAACGTGACAATTCCCCGGTGGCTTCAGTGACAGGATGAAGAAGGTAAACCAACAATATCTCTGTCCCACGGATGACACACCACCATCTCACTACATATCGTTTTTGTCATCATCACCCTCACTAACAGATTCAATGTGTATATTTCAGAAACTATATTAATAAGCATGAGCTTATTTTATTTTATTTTATTTTTGTTGCAGCCATCATTGTTGTTTGGTGGCCTGGGCTGGATTCGAACCTGCCACCTCAGGTGTACGTGGCTGGCACCTTAGCTACTTGAGCCACAGGCGCCCAGCCATGAGCTCATTTTATTCGAACAGCAGTCCTGTGAAGTAAGGTACAATATGCCTTCACAATCCATCGAATTTTCCTTAAATGGCCAAACAAAATCCAGTGGCCAAGGAGATTTTAATAGCAGCAGTTCAGACAGTGTGACTTAATCCTGGAATAGACGTGTCCGTGAAGCAGGAAAGGGGGTCTGTCTGCTTCTCAGCAGTATCCCTGGCGTGAGCCACACCTTATATATTTAAAATAAATACTTGACTTAGCCTCGCCTTCCAAGTGTTGGGTGGAACGGAATGGAATGCATAGAGTGGAATGGTAAGTGTTGAATGGCTATGCATTTAAGGCTACAAGCCATGACTTGCTTTATTTTTACTCAAATACGCAGCTCACCTTCTGAAGTGGGAAACGAAGACATGCGTGGTTGGTTCAGTTAATGAACATGGTGCATCTCAAAGTCTCCAAGGAAGAGGAAATAGCAGCGAAGAAGCGACCAGGTTTCCAGAGGCAGAAGCCAGTCCTGTAGATTCAGAGCAGTTCCAGAATTTCAGTGTGACCACTGATCAGAGATTCAGTGATGTTCTTCTCCAGCTCCGAGGCTTGGTTTCCTCTGTCCGGGAACGTGGGGATGCCCTGGATGAACTCGCCCAGTCCCTCACGGCCCTGAATGTCACATTGCTTGGGGTGCAGCTCGGGATGGACAAGCTGAATGACAAAATCCAAGAGAACGCGATTAAGCACCAAGAGGTAAGAGATTTTGTTTTGGAAAGTCACATGCTGGAAGTTAATTCATCCAGTCTCCCATCATCCCAGACAGCCAAGGTAAACAAAAGTTTCAAACTCTATTTCAACACCATCTGTTTACCAGGATTTCTCTGCCCATCTTACCAAAAGGTTTCAAATGGATTGAGCTAGTGCCTTCCCCAGCCCCCCAGAAAAATGGTACCCTTTTTCTCATTGGATATTAACTCTCTTAAGGTATTTTTATTTTACAAATGCTATTGAAGTGTCTTATCTAAAATAATTATAGATTATCTTGACAGCTCTGAAGAGGTAAGCACTGTTGTAAATTTTACAATGGACTTGATATTTCCTCATTATCAAAAAACTTAAAACCTTATTCACATGGATACTCTACAAAATATAAATTTTAAAATAACTTATTCTTCCACTTCCAAGAGGTGTACGTAAGATCTTAATGTATAAATACTATCATCATAGGATCATCAGAAAATAGTAAAGAATGCTTATTGTCATCATAAAATCATAAACACATTATGTTTTGTACTTCTGTGCCAGCTATGATACTCATTAAGCCTTGAGAAAGATAGCAACAAGAGATGAACTGACAGGCTGAAGAATCATCAGATATTCCCTTACACTATTCTAGACCATTTTTCAGCAAAGTTTCATTGTAAAGGGTGAAATGGAAACATTGTAGAATTGGGGGCCACACAGTCAGTCTCCGCTGTTACTAGTTAACGTGGGCATTGTAGCCTGTAAGCGGGTATAGCAAATACGTAGACAGGTAAGCAAAGGTGTGATATAATAAATAGTTATTCACAAAAACAGATTGTAGGTTGAATTTGGCCTGTAGACCACAATTTTCTCATCTCTGCTATAGACTATTCTGTGGCCAACCCTGGCGAATGTCTGGATTACTTTGGATTGATGAGAAAACAATTAAGAAGCAAATAACTTATTTCAAAATTATATTATCTCTCTCTTTCTCCTTTTTTTTTTTTTTTTTGGCCAGGGCTGGGTTTGAACCCTCCACCTCTGGCATATGGGGCCAGTGCCCTACTCCTTTGAGCCACAGGCACCGCCCTATCTTATCTCTTTTTGTTGAATGAGTGTATTTTTTTTTCCATACAAAATAATTATTGGACTAAAACATCACTACTCATCTGAAAATAAAAGCTTTATATTACAAAATACCTTCTAAAAGACCCAAGATTATAATTAGCATGAAGCTTATAAGGTTCCCATCATGCCTTAAGCAATGCTGGAATCTTTAAAGTACATTTTACTTGAATAAACCCCTTCTTATTGAGGTTCTTTCCTGTATAGATAGAATATTACTCAGTAGAGACTTTTATTTTTTTGACTTAATTTTTATTAAATCATAAACAGTTATGATTATCCATTTATGGGTGCAATGTGATCATTTGATATATAATGGGGAATGATTAAAACAAACTAATTAACGTAACCATCACCTCACTTATTTTTTTTGTAGTAAGACATTTATAATATAATCTTAGTTGTTTCAAAATGTGCCCTCGATTGAGCACATTAGGTGAGATGCCGCTGAATACCCTGCCTCCACTCACTCTCCTTCTTTGCTCTCCCCTCTCTCCTCTCCCCTCATTCTTTCTGTATTTATGTTTTATCATTCATATACTATTATGAAACCAGGAGTGACTTGTAAAAGTGAATGTTTCCTACACAGCAAAGTTGTAAACATCAGAGGAAAACCAACTAAATGATTGACTAGAGAATTAACAGGTTAAGAAAGAATTTCCTACATACTGTATTTCCCCGAAAATAAGACCTACCAAAAAAATGAACCCTAGCAGGATTTCTATGCATTTGTTAAATATAAGCCCTACCCCAATAATAAGACCTAGTGATGGGCGTGGCTATGCAGTGTATCTGATACGAATTTTGGTGTGGAGTGGTAAGGAAGACTGGAATACCTTTTATCTGGCACAGCTCCTTTCTCTGAGCCTTTTCACTTACCCAGGTGCAGGTGTGGTAACTGTGGTTGCAGGCATCCTATTGCACACATGCGAACGGCTAGGGGAAAGGAGTTCCCGCATCACTAGCGCAAGCCCCACCAACAAGGTCGGCTCCCCCTGTCAGGTTCCAGAAGATGACTTCACTGTATTTGAATAAATGTAGATTGTTGTATTATAGTTAATAAAAATAAGACATCCCCTGAAAATAAGCCTTAGTGTGTCTTCTTAAGAAAAAATAAATATAAGACAGTGTCTTATTTTCAGGGAAATGTGGTATTTGTTATCTGTAAAATTCAATCACTCTGAACTTTTACATTTTTACATGATCCTCATCTTAAGGGGACAGAAGACAAAGGTATTACGGTTCAAGTATGTGGTTTCTATTAGTGAACTCCATCTCAGCACCAACCTTGGTATGCTGTCTCTATTCTGCTTTAAGTCTTCCAAAATTTGACGGTTAGTCTTTCCCACATTGTTAAGTACCTAGCATAATAAATGGTATTGGGATGGTAAGAACTTGGGCTATGAGGGGATTAGGGGAAATACATGAAGGAGAAATTATCCCTTTGGTTGAAGAATATGGCAGACACAGGAAGTTAAAATGTCAGTTTTAGGAGTAAATATTGGTTAAGTTGAAGGGGAAAGGAAAAGAAACTCTATGTGAAAACAGTCAGAGGAATACGGAGATGGGGAAAGGAGAGAGACCATGGGGGAGATAGGAGAACCAGCAGACTCTTGGTCCTACTCACGTGCCAGAGACAGTGGAATGCCTTTGAGCCAGCCTCGCAAATGAGGAAGTGAAGCCAAATTAGAAACCACGTGAAAACCAGTGCAATTTTGAAACTGTTTGAAGTGATACTAAATGGAAATAATCAAAATCGGGTGAACAGTGGGCTGTTTGGGTCTGAACATATGGCACTTAGGTTTTGAAGGAAATTCCAGCATTTGAAAAGGAGACTCAAGGAAATGGTGGGACTTTTAAGCTATGATTCATTTTTTTAAAGACAGCAGTCACCTGGAGCAATTTGGAAATTGGGTTAGTGCCAGAGTAGGTAGGTTGTTTGTGAGCAGACAGGTGCACACTGAAAAAAAAAAATATTGTGACTCTCACCCCCGTTGTTTAAACAAGTGTATTGATCTTTGAATGTTTAGCCCAGTGCAGAAACAATAAAATGAATGCCTGAATTCGTAAATGCTGCTTGAGGAAAAGGCCTATAAGTAACACCAGCGTATTACTTGTCAAAAACATGCCAAGTATTAATTTGAACAGAAAGGAGGACATTTGCAGTAGATGGGAGATTGGGGAGACATTCGTATTTCCATTGTTCATAGAAAGAACTGTATGATTGCAAAATTAAATGGCTGTTTCCAACAGGGCTATTTTTTTTTTTTTTTAAATCAAATGCACTTTCCCTCCTCCCAATAAGAATAATTCCAAGTGAAATTTGAGAAACGTGAGCATGGTTTTCAAAGAAGGGAATAAAAAGGCATTCTCAGCGTTAGGTACAAGGTTGTGGGTGATTCCTGGTTTCCAGGTAGCTAAATTACTTGCCAGCTCCCTAAATGCTGCCTCGTGGATATTTGGAACAACCCAATCATGCAGCAATTTGCAGCTACCTGTTAATAAATAGTCAAGTCAAGTCAAGTCAAATAGATCATGGTGCCATGTAAATATCTATGCTCACTGTTACACCGTTATTGTAATTCTGTTGTATGGAAAATGCTAAATGGTTAGGGAAGGAGGGGGTAGAGGGTAGAGATTTTGTGATCCAGAACAGGGTTGTGGAGGACAGAAGGCAGAGGGCAGTGAAAACCGGTAGGTAAGCTTCTCTGCTTAAGTCACCACTGAAGGGGCAATTCTGGATCCATGTTCATGCATTTCCAAAAGTCTTATATCTTAACTGTCTTCATCCTCTCATCTCCAGTAGTCTAGTTCAGTCCAGTCCAAAGAGTGTCATTTTCATATCACACCTTCCTCGAGGAGCAAAATACCAGCACGTATTTCTGTGTGCCGCGGGAAATGAGAATCACAGATCTGGAATAGGTTGGCCTTCTGTGTATGGTATAAGGAAATTTTGCTTCTGATGAATCAGAAATCTAAATTTTCATGAAAAAAAACAACTTTTAAATGGCACTTTATTTTCAGCATGTTGACCTCTATATGTTTAGGAATAGAAGCATTTCTTGTATTTATTCAACTGATTAAAAAGAATTATCATTTTTTTACCTAACAAATGCAATTAACGTAACCTGGTTTCTTAAATCCTCAATGAATCCCCGACAATAAGAAAAAAAAGAATTATTATTTTAAAGCAGTTTCCTGATTTTCATATTCTTATTCCATAAAACTCTTACAGAGTTAGGGAACATTTTTTTTTTTTAAACATGAATTCTGTGTCCTCTTGAGCTCATATATTTGATATGTACATACAGAAGGTTGTGGGTACACATTTATGTTTCACAGGAAATCAGCAAGTTGGAGGAGCGTGTGTCCAAGGCATCAGCAGAAATCACATCAATGAAAGAAGAACAAGGGCATTTGGAGAAGGAAATAAAAGGAGAAGTGACAATATTGAATAACATCACGAACGACCTCAGACTGAAAGACTGGGAACATTCACAGACCCTGAAAAATATCACGTTAATTCAAGGTAAAATGTCCCGTCATCCCTCCAGAAAATGATACATATTGAAATGTACAGACAGAAGCCGAGATAAGTAGTTTTTGAGCAAACACTGACTACAGTTCCCCAGAGGAACAAATATTAAAATCAGAGCCAGACAGGGTTAAGACAGCCAGGAGCTTGGCATCCTGTAAATGCAAAGAGATAAACCAATACAGTATCTCTTAAGGTCTAATGAGTCTCTCATTGTTAAAAATATCTCTTCAATACTGAAGAGAAACACACATTTTCTGTGAGTACAAAGTCCTCTACGTGCCCATAGATCACGCTTGTTAATATTGTTTTTTCAAAGCTTCCAGGACAGAATCTTTCTTACTTCTCACGTAACCGTACTATTCATTTAAGCAACAGTCTTTTGAACTCTCGGAAATAATAGTTTTGTCGATTTTTGCTTTACTATGAGCAAAACAGGGTGCATGGAATCTTATTTTGTGATGAATATATTAACTATATCTCCTACAAATGCATGTATTTTTATGCTAGCTTTCAGTTATTTTCCCACTGTAGATATTTTTCTACATTTTGCTTTCAGCCATTTGCCATTTGATCTTTCTTTTGTTTTAGGTTTGTCTCTTGTAATGAACACCTACCGATTTTTCTGTTGTAATCTGACATTCTTTCACTGTATTTATTTTTACCATATTATTAAGTGCTCTGTTTTTGTTTTTTTCCCCCAGTTTGTTTATTTCTCTTGCCTTCTTTTCTTGACCCTTTTGGACACATGGAGATTTTTCTTCTGTTGAATTATTTTCTCCACCAGAGTTACCAAAAAGATTTTGGAAACTTCATAGTATGTTTCTATTTTATTGATGGTTGCCCTTGTTTATTTGGGGATCTGAAGCTGATCAGTATCTTAACCTTCACCCTAAATTAAACAAGGAATCTAAAATACTCTGGACTCCTCTCTCCCCTAGCTTCTTGCTATTTTTTATTGCAACTCATTTATAGTTTATGCATTTTTGCCAAGAATTGAGCGATTATTTTTCTTATTTTATATAGACATGTTCATTGTGTTTTTCCCATGTATTTATCAATTATTCTCCCTGCCACATGCATCTTAGTATTCCCCCTGGGAGTGTTGTGACTTAAATTATCCTATGACTAAAGTGTATCCTTTGGAAGTTCAATCCATGACAGTCCATGGGTGGTGAAAGATGTTGGTTTCATTTCCGTTATTTTGTCTTGATCTTTCATACTAGCTGCGTACGTACTTCTCAGACTGACAGTTACTTTGAATATTTCTTCTATCAGTGTTTTGAAGAAATTATTTCCCAGCTTCCAGATTTCCTTTTTGTGTTTAAGATGACGGCTGCCAATCTGCTAGTCATTCTCTTTGTCTTCAATACCTGCAATTTTACTAATCTGTGTTTTTGTACTGATGATTTGTTCATTGACAACTGGAGAGGAAAAAAAAGGAGACGGGTTTAAGCAGCAGAATCCTAGAAGATCTGGAATATTTTTATGATGATCTGAAGATAAGGCAAGGTCAAAGACAGTAGGAAATTAATGATCATAATGAATTGGAAATGGAGCAGCATAGCTTTGGAAATATAGGCAGATATTGTTAGTGCTGTTATCATCAGAGGAATTTAAATGACATGATATGCCTGGATTTTTTCAGTTGCTAAGTGATTTTGATATATAATACATACATCAATTATTATTATAAGAAAGTACATTTCTTGCAGCTATGCAGGAATCTTAGAGGTTTTTGTTTACAATTATGACGAGAACTGAATAGATTTCGTGCATGTGTTTAGAGACCATTGTTCATGGCAGTTATTACTATAGCATTTATGAATTAGTCCAATAACTTTATAATTAGAAAATATTAAGGATGAAGAAAAATAGCATCAATTCTTATGGTTTCTTGAATAAGGGCAAATCATACACTCTGGTCAATATTAATCTAGTTTCCTTTGATATATAGAAGCAAAGAACCTGACAGGTAGCACTGGATAACAGGTATCAGTATTTTTTATACAAAAATACACAGAGAGGTACACAGAAATAAATATTCTGCATACTGTTTGAAAATAGGAACTATCTTTAACTCTACATTTTATAAAATAACAGATAGACTTAGGCTGAGTGCAGTGGCTCATGCCTATAATCCTAGCACTCAGGGAGGCTGAGGCAGGTGGATTGCTTGAGCTCATGAGTTTGAGACCAGCCTGAACACAAGCAAAACCCCGTGTCTATTAAAAATAGAAAAACTGAGGCAAGAGGATCGTTTGAGCCCAAGAGTTGGAGGTTGCTGTGAGCTATGATGCCACAGGACTCTACCTAGTGCAATAGCTTGAGACTCTGTCTCAAAAATAACATAACATAAAATAAAATAATAAAATTAAAATAGCAGATAGATTTGTTGTGACTGAACAGAAACTCTCAGATGAGAGCCGTATGTAGATCCCATATTCATATCCCATATTCAAAATAATTGAAAGGATAGTTAGTAATTAGGGAAGAGTTCTATTATTTACCAAAGACATAGTGAAAATTCAATCTCAGAGGCTAAGAGCTTAGATCCAGTCTGTGCGTTCCCATTTCTTTCACACACATCCTAGTTTTTCCTGGAATGTTTAAGCCTTGCTTTAGAACCCTAGTTATAAAATCAAAGTCTTTTCTTGAACACTTTTTTTCACAACACCATACTTGAGTACTGGTGGTTTGCTTGTCTACAACTTCCTCAACAGAATCCAGGCTGGCTGCTCTGCTGGTCTCCTCCTTCCCCGCTGTCGAGTGATGAGTGGACACAGTTGTGTTCATGATTGTGGAAGGTCCCCTCCCCGTTCTTGGGAAGAACTACATTCTTCTGCATAGAATATTGTATCTAGATTCCCATGACATTTCTTGGGCAATATCTAAATATATGTCTTCCAACAATTAATCTATAGCTTAGAATTCTACAGTTAATTGCATAATACCTGGTAGTGAAGATTATGTAAATAAAATTGTAGCCAAAAAAACACATGACACTCACTTATAAAAGAGATGTTAATGGTATTAACTTAAAATGATACAGTTATGAATTATATATGAATATATAATTATGTATAAACATAATAGGGGTTATGGCTTCTTTATCATTGCTTTATTCAATAGTAGAGTATTTCTGCCTTTAGGAAAGTCAGTCCTTGTCATTCTGTGTTACTACACAACAAATAAATGACTTTGGATTTCCTTATATAACTATCTTGATAGGGGACAAATGCACTCTACCTATGCTTTGCAACCATGCTCAGTCACTGTAATTTTTTAAAGGTCCTCCTGGACCTCCAGGTGAAAAAGGAGACAGAGGTCCTCCTGGAGAAACCGGTCCACAAGGCATTCCAGGTGCAAGAGGTATGGTAACTATAACTATTTTATAATATTCGATGATGCTAGGGAATATACATCCATGTATGTGTATAGGGAGAATAGTTATTTTATTTGTCTCCTGTGATGTGTGTGTGTGTGTCAGAGAGATATTCAGTGTTCTAGTAGCCTAATCATATAATATACTGAATAGAAAGCATTGACATCATTTTTGAAGAAAAGCAAAGGCTTCATTATCCAGACTCACCGAATGAAGTTGCTCTTAAGTCTAGCAAGTGCCATCTGTATCATAGACCGTGACAGTATATGGCAGACCTAACTTTAGATTGTATGTGAAGGGAAATGGGAAAATCACCTTTGCATTGAAAAATTACAAGTTATCTTAGTTTTAAGACTTAAAAAAATGTGTATTAGTAAGTTATGAGTCAAAAGCAAATTGGATTATATTTCCTACATAGTCGTTGAGAGGAGTATTTCTGCTTAATCTCATGAAATCAGAATGTAAATACAGGCTAAAATATGGATGACTTTTACCTGTGCTGTCAGCCACTCTGTATTTTACTTAGAGCCTACATATTTCAAATCATTTTCCTCTGTGTTTAATCTTGAAAGCAATATTGTGGAAGAAGATACAGAAAAGAAGGGAGAGCAGATAATATGATTGTCATGTCACTTTTGGCTGGAAATAAATATTCTGCATACTGTTTGAAAATAGGAACTATGTCACACAGTCTGATAATACCTAGAATGGTTTGTGCTGCCAAAAATATCACGTCCTTCATCTTATTTTTCTGCCTTTTGAGTATATAAAATCTTCTTTCTGATCAATGTATTGACTAGCCCAGGTTACACCAGAAAAACAATTTTTAAAAATGAAAAGCATGGCTCGGTGCCTGTGGCTCAAGTGGCTAAGGCACCAGCCACATACACCTAAGGTGGCAGGTTCGAATCCAGCCTGGGCCTGCCAAACAACAATGATGGGAGCAACCAAAAAATAGCCAGGCATTGTGGCAAGCGCCTGTGGTCCCAGCTACTTGGGAGGCTGAGGCAGGAGACTCGCTTGAGCCCAGGAGTTGGAGGTTGCTGTGAGTTGTGATACCACGGCACTCTACCCAGAGGGGCAGCTTAAGGCTCTGTCTCAAAAAAAAAAAAACAAAAAAACAACAATGCTTTGAAATACGTCCTTCATTTCCTAAAGGAACCACATAATGGGCTGTAAGTGCCCAGTGGTATCAATGACAAGAGTGCCCGACCTATAGGCATGGGAGGGGCCACCTACCTAAGAGGCCTTAACAGAGAACTGAAGGTTTCTCTGATTTCAAAATTTTCACCATCACCCAGTACCTCTTATTTTGTCTACATAGCCTGAAATTTCCAGCATTGGAATAAAGCTTCTAAAGGAGAAAATAAAGCCCATCTTAACTGTGGAGATCAGAAGACAGGAACCATATTTTATTAATCTTCATATCCATATGTGTTTATATTCTATCCCACTGCTTTCTGCAGTCGTGGCCCAGCAAGGCCTCTCCCTCCAGCTTCAACAAGAACAGAATCCCTAAATACACACTTTAGCAAGAAACTCTGTCAGTGGCAGGCTGCTGCTCTGTGCCTTGCTATTGAAAATGGGTTTCTTCTGGAGGTAACAAGTTGTGTTAATAAATCCAAAAATGTCAATGCTGACTATGCATATGTATTAAATAATACCAAATATAGATGTTGTCACAAAAAGCTGCTGAAAATAATGATTATAGTGCTGGGGAGAAAGATGAGGGGGAGGAGGGAAGAAAGTTAATACAAAAATGTTCATTACCCATCAGGTACTTTTCTAAGTATTTTACATTTATATTAATTTAATCATGTCAAACTGATGATGTCAAGATAAGTATTACACTCATTTTAGAGGCCCACCGGGAGGTTAAATAGTCAATCATCAGCTGGTAAGTGTCAAGGCTGGTGTTTAAACCCAGATGGGCATGACTGCAGAGTCAGCATAATTAACCAGTCTACTAGACCACAGAAAGAAAATTGAACAAAGGCGTAGGAACCCAGGACATGTGAATATTTGTCAGACCAGACTGAACACAAGTGATTTGATCTGTCTAGGTTTATGGCCCTGCCTCTATAAAATGATGGATTTGGAATGGATAACGTAAGGTCTCTTGAAACTCTTACATCCCAGGGCTGGGATTCTGTGTAATTGTACCCATATGGCCTGTGAGTTAGCAAACGTGCCAGACCCTTTCAACTTGTCACATATGATTGTAGAAAATTAGCTTATTTCCACCTGAAAAACTCAGAAAATCTAGCCTACTGGAATAAAATTGAACGCTTCTATTTAGAAGCATTCAAACATCATTGATCATAAAATTACCTACCTCTATGGGCCATATAAAGTCTGCTTAAACATCTAGACTAGAGAACTAATGATCCACTGATTTCTATGAAAGTACCCCATGTGCTTCTTTTGTGGGTTTATTTGCTCACCTATTGAAAATACACATAATTCATAGTCAAACAGCGATATTCTGAGTGTCACTGTAACAAACCCAACAAGTCATCTGAGAGGCCCTTTCTCTTCCACCTGTCTAAAGCATAGTTTAAGACACTATCTCTTTTATTTCCCAGTTTTTTCTAAATTTACAACCTGTAAAATTATCTTCTTAATTTATCTGTTACCCTTCTTGCCACGTCTCTCTCTTGTTTAGCTACACTGGGAGATCTGTTTGGATAAGGATATTTTATTTATTTACCAATCCCTCTCCCTCCTCCGCTTCCTCCTCCTTCTTCCCCCAACTTGAACTGAGTTGTGTTTTTCTCATGTTTTTCTCTGTATTAGTTTGTCTACTAACTTCATATTAGTATTGAGTACATTGGATCCTTGCTTTTCCGTTCTTGTGATACTTTACTAAGAAGAATGTGTTTCAACTCTGTCCAGATTCATACATACAGATGGAGATGTAAAGTCTCCATCTATTTTTATAGCTGAACAGTATTCCATGGTATACATATACCACAGGTTATTAATCCATTCTTGGATTGATGGGCACTTAGGTTGTTTCCACATCTTAGTGATTGAAAATTGAGCAGCAATAAATAGTCTAGTGCAAATGCCTCAATAAGGACATTTTTAATTCCAGGAATGTATAAGACCAGCAAAATATGCATGCTCAGTAGATATTTGTTGAATTAATGGAGAATATAGTAAAATGGGGAGTTATTTGTGAGTAGAATTCTATAAAAACTCTGAAAAATATGGGAGAATAGATTCTTTTTTTAAATAAGAGAATTTAGTATCAAATAAAAAAAAATTATTTGTAAATTTGAGCCACAGATCTCCATAACTACATGAACAGAGATCTGGCCACTTTGCTTATATAACAAAGGAAGGTGTAAGGTAATAGATCAGCTTATCCTAAGAATAGGTGTTAGGTCATTTTTTAGGTTGTGAAATGCAGTTAATACATACTTCAAAGTATAAATAGAGTTGAAATGTCCTGACATCACTAATATTCCTAAACATTATTTATCATTTTTTGCCTTCAGATATCTGCTTAATATCTGTTGGAATCAAAGTTTCATACTGCGTTGAATAATATTTCTTAACTATTTAGAATAATGTCCTTCTTAAAATGAGGACTTCTTAGAGGATAGTTGCCTAGGATCTATATGATTGAGCCTCAAAAATGATCTTTAATGAAGGAAATGTGAGTAAGTCCTACTCCTGGAATTTGCAAATTAAAAGCAACACTCTAAAAGGTTAATACTGAAAAAAATAAGTATAATCAATGACTCATAATGTGCCTTCCCAAGGAGTCAATAAAAATTTTGATTAATGAGATCTTTGTAAATTGATAAAGACATTTAAAATAAGACACAAACTATTTCACAGAGTGTAGCTCAAAACACTAAGCTCTAGAATAAAATATTTTATTCTATAGGAGTATAATAGTTGCTTCTAGATGCAGTTCTTTTGAGGTCACCATGGAAATATGGAGTATAGAATGGTCATTTTCAGTTTTCTTTTAAGCATCCCTCGGATTTTTATAAGTGTATAATGTATACTCATAAGCAAATCAGTGGGGTGTGTGTGTGTGTGTGTGTGTGTATTTACATTGTTTGAGATTACAGTAGAATTTGTAAAATCGGGTCCATGAAAGATAAAGTAAGATGTTCCAGCACTAGGACCTCAATTTTTTTAATAAACACCCTGATGCTTTTCATTGTCTGGGCTGTTTTTTTCCTATGGTAAACCTTAAGAATTCAATTTTCAGCTTATGCACTTTAAAGTTACCATTGCAGCTACAGCAAAATCCTTCCATTTGATGTTTCCTGGTTGACTACATAAGCCTCAGGTTAAAACTCCAAGTTTTATTTTTTTCTCTACTTTTAGTGCTGCTAACAATGTTATTTACTATCTACAATATGCTGGATGCATGAATGTTTATCCTTATTACTTATCTTCTAGTGTCACATACAAAATGTTAGAAATGATACTATTCTTCTGCTGGAAGATTCGCCTGTTTCACATTTATTTATAAAACTAGATGGTTTCATTGAACTCTCAAATCTGTATAAAAAAAATGAACTGTTATATACTTTTTTTCTTTTCTTTTTTTTTTTTTTAACTAACCACGTAGGTCCTCCAGGTCTCAAAGGTGATCGAGGAGCAATTGGTTTTCCTGGAAGTCGTGGATTACCTGGGTCAACTGGAAGGCCAGGTATTAAGATAATGTGTATTTTCTTTATAGAATACACAAAAGTAACATCAGTTCGTAAAAATATAGTAGAACCTCTGTAAGTTGACCACCCAAGGGACCCGTAACAAACTGACAACATGAAGAGGTGGCCAACATAGGGAACCAGGCCTACTGTGCTGATATATACATGTGGTGCATGTCCAATCTATGAAAATCTGGTCAACTTAAGGAGGTGGTCAATGTAGAGGTGGTCTACTACAGATGTTCTACTCTGTATATATATGTATGTGTACATGTATTTTTTTTAGTTCTTGGATAATGAATAATGGTCCTTATTATATGAATAGTAGCATCCACATGTAGTTAATCTTGTGGTTTAAAACATTTTGAAACTGATTTCTGCCCACCCAAGGAAAGTTTCCATGGCCCAAAGGAAAATAGTGTAAAAAAAAAAAACCTGATAGGCTTATAAACTTTTTATCATCATAAATCATCATGAAGAACGCTATCTAAGAAAAAATAGAGTGAAAAGACTGGCAAAAAAAAAAAAAAAGAATGAATACTTCTTTTCGTTGTTGGTGTTGTTGTTGTTGCAGTTTCTGGCCAGGGCCGGGTTTGAACCCGCTACTTCTGGTATATGGGGCTGGTGCCTACTCCTTTGAGCCACATCTGCCGCCCATATGAATACTTCTTTAACCTCCACTGGCCAAAGTCTACAATGTTATAGTTAGCAAAATATAGAAACGTTTGAAATCTAACCCTTTACAAAATACACTGCCTGCTATTAGCTCTCAGTGCTTAGTAATCAACCTTGTTTATGCTTCAAAATGTACATATATGATGGTATAAGTTCTAGTAGCTATGCAGGGAACCCAAGCTTGAGTAGCGAGCTTTGCACAGTCATTTTAAAAGCGGATACACTTGTTGTTTCCTAATTTCAAAGTAAATTATCATTAAGAAATTAGCAGCATAGCTGGTTTGTCATTGTACAGCTACTCAGGAGGCTGAGGTGGGAGGATGACTTGAGTCAGGAGAGGCTACAGTGAGTGGTCTCCCAGAAATTTTCTTACAATAACCTCTCTTCTTAAGTTTAATAAAAAGGATAATTTTGTAAAGTCTATGTGAAGTATATACTCTTTGGGCATATATAATTGTTCAAAATGAATGAACAAATCATTCTTTTGGGCAATTAGACATTTGTCAAGGTGTTTTGAACTTGAACTCCATGGTAACGTGTAGTTATTCCACTTCCATTATTTTCTTTCCCCTCTTAGAGACCGACATAACAGAGGATAGTACATATTTGAATCCCAGATTCAAATTCTACTTTCCCATTCCATCTTATTCTGCCTCGGTTTGCTTATATACAAAACAAGGCTGAGACACATAAGAGAATCTATGTTTTAGACAATCTGTAAAAATTAAAGAAATTAATATATGTCTTAAATTGTCTCAAAATTGTCCTGTCACCGAGCATGCTATATATACGTTGGGCTACACCAGCTCTAGGTTTCTTTGTGCTCTCAGACTGCTGGAGTTCAGCAAATACTCCCTGGTTAATTTACTTGGGAGAGCATTCTTTGATGGATTCCCCCAGCCAGCACAGCTTAATGCGGGTTCACTGTGTGCTGGAGATACATACAGCACAGCTGCTGCCCTCAAGGGGCAGGGGGTAAGCCATTAGCTATCATGGAATGTGGTAGATAAGTGACATCTGTGAAGCTGGGCAAACTGCTATGGGGGTAGAGAGTTTAGAATGATTAATTCTGTAGTGCGAGAAAATGTATTACAGAGGAAGTCGTGTTAGTGCTGTCTGAAAGATGCTTTGAGTTTTAGGTTTGTATTTCTCGGCCTTTAGCAGATAATAGGATCTCTTGGAGGTCCTTATAAAGCAGCTTGGTGAACTTTGCCCCAGAATTCCCGATGTGATAGGTCTGGGATGGGGCTGGCTTCCTTGCCAGTTGGGAGTGCTGCTGCTGACCCAGGGACCACATTTCAGGACCGCATCTTTAGCTGGAGCAAAGGGTGGAGAAGGAGAAACTTTCTAATAAGAAAAGCAAGGAAAGCGGTAAGGAATTCCCAAGATAGCCTTAGGATATTATTTCCTTTTTAAAAGGAAAGACTTTTTAAAAGACTCAAATTTGGTAAAGCTGGGAACACCAGTGCCTTGCCTGGTGCAGCTTTAGTTATATTGCAGATTAAAACAAAGAATGATAGGGCGGCGCCTGTGGCTCAAAGGAGTAGGGCACGGGTCCCATATGCTGGAGGTGGTGGGTTCAAACCCAGCCCCGGCCAAAAACCGCAAAAAAAAAAAAGAAAGTGGCTATGATCATATAAGTGTTACATATGAATGATGTTAAAATGATACAAACATTTATATTTATTTATAAGGAGGTAAGACATTTCATTTACCACCTCTAACAGAAAAGTCATGGTGTATGAGAAAAACCAAAACAAAAAATAAAATGGATTTTCTATTGAGCACAGAATCCTACAGCTAAAAGAATATTCAGTGGATCTGCCTTCAGCTGTTTCTGAAGTATCCAAGTATTTCTGTTCTCAAGTATCCAAGACAAATTGCTGAATTAAAAGGCTTCCAAGAATAAGGCCTCATCTCCTTTTCTTTAATTTTGAATTAAACTTGTTAAAATTAGAACTAATCAGTTACACCTTTTTTAATCCCCCTCAACCAATTTTTAAAAACATCTTTAGATTTTTTCCTCTTGAACAGTCTGAAAATTTGGGGTACTTTGTGCTAAAAATATTTTTGCCAATTTAATAGTGCCCCAAAGGACTCAATCATAATTAAGAAGTGAATTTAGTGATATAAAGTATAATAGCATTAGGCAAAACAATCAGAGAATTAAAAGTGCTCTTCATTATACTTTGATACAGAATGGTTGGCATTTCATTAAATCTTGAAAACAAAATTTTAATTGGAAATAATTTATACCTTTTAAGCGCCTCAAGCCTCACGCTACTCATTACACATTAAATTATTAATATCCTAAATTAGGGGCCAGAATACTTTTCTAGAAGCTGCATAAAGATGTATCTTCAAAATAAAGCATAAAAACAAAATAAACTAGAGAAACCAAAAAATAAGTAAATACATATTAATAGTAAAATTAAATGCATTTGTACTACCGTGTTTCCCCCCAAATAAGACACTGTCTTATATTTATTTTTTCTCAAGAAGACACACTAGGGCTTATTTTCAGGGGATGTCTTCCTCTCTGCACTGAAATGCATGGCAGGGCTATGCAGATATGCTGCATAGCCACACCTATCACTAGGGCTTATTATCGGGGTAGGGCTTATATTTAACAAATGCATAGAAATCCTGCTAGGGCTTATTTTTGGGGTAGGTCTTATTTGGGGGGAAACACGGTATAACAGTAAACTGAGATGAAAAAGTCCTTTTCTCTCATTCACTGAGAATAAAATCACAAAGAACAGATTCTAGCTAAGCTTTGAGAGATGAAGAGCAGAAATCATTGGAGCTACCATCTCTCACATACGTCTCGTATAGACAAGGTGCTTTATGACCATTGTGCTAATTTCCAAGGCAGCTTTGCAGTGATGGAAGATATTATTTTTTCCTTTCGTAGAAGAATAAACTTAAGGCTAGAATTTTTAAAGACTTGTCCCAAGCCACATTCCCTAGCAAATGGCAGAACAAAATAATTCAAAACAAGAATTTTTAAAACTGTCATTATTTTTCAAAGTTCATGATTTTTAAATGACATCCTCTGAACTCTTGGATGAAAAGATGCAAGTCTTTGACTCGTTGGTGAGAGTCAAAAACAAGCCTTTGATTTAGAGGCTGACGACAGTAGGTTCAGCCCTGCATTTATGCCAAGATGATAAGGACTTGCAAGGTATCTGATGACTGTTGGAAGAAGAATCAACAGGCAAGGGCAGCGCCACTTTCATGAGATGAAATTGCCACCATTAATAGCTCTTTTGGGTCTAAAGAAAGCTCTCCTGCAGAACTCTGGTCTATAGGTGAAGTTGACCTTCATTAGCACAAGGTCCAGCAATGTTGCCACATTCATTTGAAGTCCTGACCCTTGTATGAAATTCTACTAGTGGTACGATACCCCTGTGCAAATGCACGAGATTGCTCAAAACCAAAAGTGCCCCGCCTGAGGTTTGGATGCTCCCAGGTTCTTCCTACCTTCCCCATGACTGAGGTTATCAGAATCTCAGCATTCCCAGAAATTCAATTCATTGAAAATCTAGTCTTTGGAATGCTCCACTTTCAAGAAATGCAAAATAAGATAAATTGTGATGCGAATGGAAAAAACCAGGTGTGGGATGTGATGGAAGGCACTAGGCTTCTGGGGATGGGAGGAAAACAGAAAGAGGAGGAGAGGACACATGAATATAATACAAACTCCTTACATTTCAGCGTTGCCTCTTGTAGGAAAACTGGAGGTTTAGTGCCCTCACAAGTAATTTGAAATACTAGCACATGACAGGGCTTCAAAAGTAATATCTATTAATCTATTATTATTATTATTAGCACTGACATTATTGTTACATTTAAATACCTGTAGGCTGTAATGCATTGATGTTTTTGATTACCTTGTATCTCCATTTAAACCAACATTGTGAATTGCCCTGGTGAAAAACATTCTCTCTTTTTTTTTTTGCATTTTTTCAAGGAAATCCCGGACAAAAAGGCCAGAAGGGGGAAAAGGGGAGTAGAAGCACAACAAGTAAGTGCATAGTTTTTTGTTTCCTGTGTGCATCTTTTATAACATCTAAGCTTGTAACGTTAGTGATCTGAGCTTGAGATAAATTTCAAGAACGTCAGTATTGATCCATGGAGATTCTAGGGAAACCAACCGCTGTTTTCTACAAACAAAGCATGCTAATTGGAGTAAAACAAATAGATCATATTAAGCGACTCTTTCAATCTCATTATCCATTTGTGTTTTGTTTTTGTGATGAGCACTATTTGCTAAAAATTCCACACAGAAAATTGTTCCATTTTCAAGTCAATTTCTATTCACTGAGGGAAAATCAAGCTTATGAATAAAAACAATTACAGCCTCCTTACTGACCGAGCTAACTGAAACCTCACATAGAAGAATTTGGATAACTTAAGAACTTTGAAAGATTAACTCTGCCGTGGCTGGGATTTTTTTGTTTTGTTTTATTAAAAACTTTGAGAAGTGCTGCCCCATGCCTTAGACCTTTAAACCTGCAACTGAATCTGACACTAGGAATCTTTATCAGCAGAATGCTGACCTCATGTTGCAATGAAAAAATCTTTCAAGGGGGCTGGGTGCCTGTCCCTAAACGGTTAGAGCACTGGCCCTGTGCACTGGGGCTGGCGGGTTCAAACCTGGCCTGGGCCTGCTAAACAAAAGAAGAAGAAGAAGAACAATCTTTAAAGTGGATGGTAGCAGCAGCTAAATATTAGATGTCTTCAATTGTCATGCCATGAGTAATTGGTGTGCCTCCTCTGATTGTATAATGATGGAATGGAATAATTATAAAGAGGGATGAAGAACACCAACTTGGCTTCTTAGTATCAAATACAGGCTTCTCCTCCTATATTCCCAGTAGGAGCTACATGATATGTGTGTCTATGGAAATAGTGACACACCCAGAGGGATCATTATCTTCACTTATTATGATGAATCCCTTTATGTACCAAAGTCTATCAGTCTCTAGTAGTAGTCATTATCTAAAAATGTACAGTACCAATTTCTCTTCCTTAGTAAAAATAATTATTTTAGGCTCGGCGCCTGTGGCTCAAGCGGCTAAGGCGCCAGCCACATACACGTGAGCTGGTGGGTTCAAATTCAGCCTGGGTCCACCAAACAACAATGATGGCTGCAACCAACAAACAGCCGGGCGTTGTGGCGGGTGCCTGTGATCCCAGCTACTTGGGAGGCAAAGACAGGAGAATCGCTTGAGCCCAGGAGTTGGAGGTTGCTGTGAGCTGTGATGCCACAGCACTCTACCCAGAGGGACAGCTTGAGGCTCTGTCTCAAAGAAAAAAAAATTATTTTAACCTAATACTGTGTATAGATGTCATGTTTTGACAAGTTGGGGTATGGTTGAGAATCCCAGCCATTAAAGTAGCCATTAGAATAACCAGGAAACTTTCTCTTCCGTTTTGTTAAGATTATTAGAATTTATATAAACAACACTGTAATTCAACAAATATTAGACTGTGTACAGTTGTATTTTGATTTTTGTCTACCAAAAATATTTAATATGACTATAACAGGTTCAGTTAAGTAAAACAAATAAGGTAATTATTACTTTTAATAATTTCATTTTCAATTACTACCTGGAGAAAAGACACATTAGATAAAGGCTTCTGAAATAAATTAGCAGTAAAGTTACATGGGAGGTAGAATACACATGTAAGTGATGTGTCATAAGGTGAAGACTTTTCATCACGGATTCCTTGCAGCCACCAAATCAGTGGAAGATTTGAGCACCCTGCTTATGTTGATATTTTCCGATTTTGTTTTAATCAGCAGCTGTATCCTTGTCATTTTTTGTGTTTAAATTCTATGTTTCAGTTTTGTTCATCTTAAGAAATAGCAAATTCTAGGCAGGGAATATGCATTCTTTTTTTTTTTTTTTTTTGCAGTTTTTGGCTGGGGCTGGGTTTGAACCTGCCACCTCCAGCATATGGGGCCGGTGCCCTACTCCTTTGAGCCACAGGTGCCACCCAGAATATGCATTCTTATTTATACATAGCTATGAAAGATAGCACATTATGCTATCATAATAGAAACATAATTATCCCCTTAGAATTTTTTTTTATTATTGTTGGGGATTCATTAAGGGTACAAAGAACCAGGTTACCTTGATTGCATTGTCAGGTGAAGTCCCTCTTATAATTGTGCCCCACTCCCAAAAGGTGAGTTACACACCACGAACCCTCCATCACCTCCCTTCCTCCCTGTAACACAGGGTATTACATTGTGTGTCTTTTGAGCGCTTTAGTTAGTTAATGACTAACTCTGTTGTTCTCATCATATTCAGACAATAGAAACGTGTGTGTCTTTTCTCATTTGTGTCATTTTTTTAAGACGGTCACTTTTGTCTGCTGTAAACATTTTTTGCCACCGATCTCCCTTTTTTCTCCTTTTCACTCCATTTATTTTTGGTTAAGATCCTCTTCTAAGTTTCTCTTCCCTATCTTTATGTGTATCTTTATCTCTACCCTTATTTTTATCTTTTGTTTGCTTTATTTCCTTTTCCTGGGGCTTCCTCCGAGCTTCTGAACACTGTCTCTAGTCAAACGTGGCCAGTAGAAAACTTGTCTATTTTTAGTCTGTAAACAGAGCGCCCACACTGTCTCCTGTTACCCGAGGTTATCAAATGCTTTGAATATATTTTTCAGATACGTTCAAAATGTTTTTGGTTAGAGTTTTCATGGCTCTTTTGGTATTTATGAGCCAATTTATTTTTTCTTCAAGATGTCAGTAAGAGAGATGTTCTGTGTAAAAGCGTATTTAGTCCCTGAATTCCCCCTTCATGCCCTCTCCATGTAAAGTATAAAACAACTCCATGTTTAAAAAAGAATCATATACATAAACATCCACTATAGTATGTTGTGCTTTTTGCTTTAGTTAGTATTCCAATCATCTGTCTACGTCATTACATAGGCCTCTAACTCTTTTCCCTCAATAATTACACATTATTATTTCATTATACAGCTGTACCGAGATTACCATAACATAGTCATTCAATCCTCTAGTCCTGAACACTTAATGATTTTTGTTTACGTTGGTTTGGCTTTAATAAACAAGGCTACATTAGTCATTCCCATGTGTGATCTTGTGGGAATACTTTATTTAATAGGGAATTTGCTATAAGTAGAATCAATGGTTCAAAGGTTATATACATTTGACAAGTTGATGAATTCTCATAATTGGCTCTAACAAAGGCTGTACCAACTTATGCTATCTGGCCAATTTCTCACATTTTAAAATTAATTCTGATATATGAAACTTTTTATTGATTTATTTTAATACATTTTAAAATATTTTTCAGGCATGATTTATATATAATAACAGCAATCATCAATTGCCTCTTTTACATAGGAGTCAGGACCAGGGCAGCTCCCTGGGCCCTTTTAAGGTCAGTTGGGTTGGGCGAGACGCCTTCTGGTATTTTCTCATTAAAAGGCCCTTCAGGTTGTACAAGTCACCAGCACAGCTGACTTTTAAGATCCTTTTGTGGCTTCTTCAAATGACCTTGGTTCCTATGACATCCCTGACTTCCACATGAACTTCCTCTCTCTGGTCCTTGGTGCTATTTAGGCCTCTGCTCCTTCTCTTTACTCCAGTTACCCCACCTTCACCCCGATCCCCTAGCACCATCTGCTGCTCCAGCCAGTCCTCAGATACCAAGCAGGAGCTCTCTGCTACCCACCCACCTAGACTCTTGCTGAACCCACTTTAATCCATTGGATTCTAGGATAAATCTCATGGGCGCTGATGAGATGTGGGTTCTTTATATTCAAAACATTGTTCACAACCAGGAATAAGGAAGACATAGAAGAAAATCCATTCATTCAATCATTTATTCACTCATTCATTTAGCATGTTAATTTTCTTACTACCGTGAGTTGGATATAACAGCTAATAAGATAAATATTGTCCCTGGCCTTATATAGTGATTGTCCCTGAGAGACCTACAAGGATAAAATAAAATAATATATAAAAGGGCAATTATAATATATCAAAGTTATACGGTGGGAGGAATATGGCCAGATAGATATTCAGAGGAGGTGAAGATTTTTGAATCTCTTAGAATATTTTTTAAAATTTATTTTGATTTATTGACTTAGTTTCCCTTTTCATATTATTCTCCAAATATTTGGAGCATATTTCCTTTTTAAATTTCAAAATGAGGTAAAGTGGAACTTGGACAACGTATTTAAAACATTTAAACCAAACCCAAAACTTGTTTTCTTATTTTACTTGGCCATTTCAAACGAAAACATCTCGATCACTTCAAAAATAATGCTGATTTCTTTTGATTCCAAAAAGTTCTTTGTGTGTGATGCTTCAAGAATCTATATATACCCCAAAGAAAAAGAAATACTTAGTAGAACTAGAGATATTTTATATCAGTGAAGAAAGAGGAAGAAATGAGGAAAGAGAGAAAGTAAGAAAAGGCAGACAGAAAAGGAATAGGAAGAATGTGGGGTTCCATGTTATTTTGAGTTTTTATTTACTGATTAAAAGACTGTTTTCACAAGTCTTCTCTCCCTTAACTTTGAACACGTAGTTTTCACCATTGAGGTTCTAGTAGAATTCTGAGTAGTGTGCTCATGGGCGTCTCACCATTCCCACTTCTTCCCTTGTAAATTGGACATGTTAACTCCCACCTCACAGCCGTGCTGTGAGGATGGACTAAGATACTGTGTGTGAAGATGCTCTGTAAAACTATAAAATACTGTGAGGATGTAAGGGATGGTCCTCAGCGGTCTCTCCAACCTGGAACTGCTATTCCTTGCTGGTAGAATGCAGACATTTTAAATCTGTAATCAGAACATGAGTGAGAGCAAAATGAAAATGCAAGAAGCCAAATAAATGTCCTCGATGAAAAGAGAGATGCTAGAGGAAAAGAGAAGATTTTATATTAGATAGAGCAATGCAAGTGTGACCAGAGCACAAATCAGAGAGTTTGTCAGAGCTGAGCACAAGAGCTTTAGTTATAAATAAAAGAAGCCACT